TGTGTGTACTGGTTTATATATCCTGGTGGGGACTTAAACCTGACTACACACAGACTCATGGGGACTCGTGTTACGGTGGGGACCTAAATTTAGGTCCCCACGGGACAAAAGCTTATAAATCATACAGAATGAAGTTTTCTGAAAATCTAAAAATGCACAAAGTCTCCTGTGAGGGGTAGGTTTTGGTGTAGGGTGTGAGAGGGCACAAGTTAATCTCATTAATATAAAAAGCCGTTAAATCCGATTTAAGGTGAATTACAGTGAAAGTTTTCTGCTCTTAGAGTCAGAGAAGAGACCTGGAATAGATTATACAGTATGACTTCGGGTTTGTGCTGTGTTACCTGTGTGTGTGAGTGAGAGAGAGAGAGATTTATAGTGTTTTAACAGAAAAACACCATCTGATGATCCCTCACGAGTTGCTGAAAGACCGCTTTGTGTCTAGGGTTGCCAACTTCAGAAAAGAAAAATAAGGGACATTCGTGGTTCTTTATAGGAAAATAAGGGACACACACAATGTTTGTACTGTAACACATAGTGAGTGTCATTTCAGTGTTCGGTAAGTTAAGTACTCAACCAGTCAAAAGTTTTTCAACAGTAAGATTTTTTATGTTTTTTTTAATAAGTCTCTTCTGCTCACCAAGCCTGCGTTTATTTGATCCAAAGTACAGCAAAAGCAGTAATATTGTGATTTTTTTTTTTACTATTTAAAACAACTGCTTTCTATTTGAATATATTTTAAAAAGTTATTTATTCCTGTGACCAAAGCTGTTTTTTTCAGCATCATTACTCCTGTCTTCAGTGTCACATGATCCTTCAGAAATCATAATAATATGCTGATTTGCTGCTCAGAAAACATGTATTATTATTATTATTATTAAAGGTGTCATATATCATGAAAATCTGACTTTTCCAGGTTTTAAGTGCTATAATCAGGTACCCGGTGCATCTACCAACCAAGGAAACGTGAAAAAGATGAACCCAGTAACTTTGTTTTGGGAAGCCTGTTTCTGCAAGCGTCTGAGAAAACGAGCGCGTCTGATTTCGCTCCCTTAGTGACGTGGTAAAGGCATCTCATTATAATATTACCGCCCCTCAATCTGTAAACTTCCACTCAAGGCATTTGATTTTTCGCAAGCGACAACGGTGTACCAGCTCTAATGCCATGACGAAAGTTTGAGCAAAACATGCTAACTGTTCTGTCTTTGGGTGCACAGACGAGCACAGAACACTATTTAGAGTCCCAGCCTCAGAGGAGACAACAGAGCAGTGGTTATTGATTTATTTAGGCTACTGTATATTGCTGCTGCCACACAGATCTAAAATAAACATGCGATTTATTTCCCACAGACATAACCGACTGTTTTTGTAACTCATGTGAGTTTTTAACGTAAGCTTGTGTGTGAATGAGAACTTAGTTTAGTACTTAGATGCTGTGAAAGCCGCTTTCTGTCCGTGTGCTTCAGATGTGTGCTCTCAGAAAACCGTATATCAGAAGTTTAAACTCATATGGTTTAAAACACATGATTTCAGCGCGATAAACATGATAATCAGAACCAGAACAGATGTTTTTAGCAGGTCCGAGCTGTAAAGGCGCAGCTCTATTCTGGAAAAGGGGGCGTGGAGCAGCAGCTCATTTGCATTTAAAGAGACAGGCCCGAAAAACAGCGTGTTTCTGCTTCCACTCAAAATAGACATTTTCAAAATGATATTATAAATGATCTGTGAAGTATTTTGAGCTGAAACTTCACAGACACATTCTGGGGACACCAGAGACTTATATTACATGTTGTAAAAAGGGGCATAATATGCCACCTTTAAGATTTAAAAGATTTTTTGTCCGTTTTTTTGAGCAGCAAATCAGCATATTATAATAATTACTGAAGGATTATGTGAAGACTGGAGTAATGATGCTGGAAATTCAGCTTTGCATCACAGGAATAAATGACATTTTCAAATATATTCAAATAGAAAGCAGTTATTTTAAATAGTAAAATATTTCACAATATTACAGCTTTTGCTGTATTTTGGATCAAATAAATGCAGGCTTGGTGAGCAGAAGAGAATTATTAAAAAAAAAACATTAAAAATCTTACTGTTCAAAAACTTTTAACTGGTAGTGTATGTGTATAAAGGATGTCTAAAAGGTTCTCAGACATAAACACATTTCTTTTGCTTAACCTATTTATGTACAATTTAATTCTAAAATAGAATTGTAATGTCATACAAAAAAAAAAAAAGTCACACACAATATACACAAACCATTAGCTAGAGCAAATTGTACCACTTTAGAATTGTGACTGTACCAGTTGTGTAGTAACTTGTATAATAGCGACATCAACACATTTAAAATATCATCAACCCCTCTTTTTTTTTATTAAAGATACACATAGAAACACACATATGGCATAACATATTAAACCATAACAACTGAATGTCTATGAAACGTCAGTCAATAAAGCATTTTTTATAAAAGCAATGGCACTTAAAATTTAGAACTAAAATTGTGTTATTGCAACATGAATGTATGAATATTTTTTCAATTCAAGAGAACTTAAAGAATTAGTACTTGCTGCTTTCGAGACTTTTTTGGTCATACTTCACCCTATCCGTGTCCGTACTTTTTTCGCTATTCTTGAGGGTCACATTTCTGAAGATGCCCTCACAAATCTACAGAAAGTTTTTGGACCGTTAAATCATGTTTGAAAACCACTGCGATGTATTTCAAAGAAAGACAGAAGAGCACACTTTTCAAGCAAACATTTCACAAAAATAAGTTTTAAATGTTGGAATCGATGTCAGATTTTAATATTCAAAATCCAGAAAGTTCATCTTGGATAAGATGAATGACACCTAGCTGAACTCTTAATATATCCACTAAAAATCACAAAAACATCTGTTAAAGTCATGAGCAGCAGAGACAAGATCCTACAGCATTTGTTGCCCTTTGCACCAGATAGGAAGCGAGTAGAATAAATTGCTGCTCTATTTTTCAAGTGTTCAGTTTAACAGTGGTTATATTGTGCTGTAATCTCCTCCTAAAATCACGAGCTTTAGTGTGATGCATCAGGACTCATGCAGATGGCAGTAAATATCGGAGTGAATGATAACTCTGTTCTGTAATCCTCAGTGAGAGATTACCGGACTAAACAAGGCACTTTGTTTTTCAAGTGCATGCTTTAATTTGGTCATTAAGCGCTGTAGAGAGTGTGCTTCTGTGGAGAGAGTCAGGTGCTGCGGCGCACAAAAGACAGATTAGAGCGCTGTGCAGAGACACAAACCTGACTCTTGGACTGATCCTCTGTTAATCTGTCTGAAGAGGCTGAGACGGGCGGCAGTGAATGGGGTCCTGAGACCAGGTGAAGGGGGTCTCTCTCTTTCCCTCTGCGGTTTATGGTTCTCTCTGAATATGTTTTACTGTCTGCTGAGGATGTTAATAGAAATAAGACACTCAAGGTTGTGTGCTACAGTCATTTTGTCAATGGTGTTGTTAGCCTATAACATTTATTTCTTTACAGTAAGCGGCACTTGGTTTGATATTTTGTTTTCTAATGCAATTCAAATATCTGTTTTATAGATTTACATTTTAGCATTCAAGTCGACTCAAGTCGACTTATAAGTGAGCAACACTTTAAATGGTGGAAGCGCATTGAGAGACTGCAGATTATGCTGATCAGCTGAATAATGTTTATTGTAAGAACTGTTGCATTGTTGATGACAGGTGCTTCTCAGTCTTTTCTTATAAAGCCTACTGTATAATTTTCGATATGCACATTTCTAAGGCCTCTAAAATATCGACACGATCAAAACTTTGCTGAAAAACCTGTTGTAAACGACCGTTATACATGCCTTCTGCCGTCTGATTAGTGAGTAAACAAGCTTTTAATATAATTGTGAAACTGTCAGGTTGTGGGTCACATGTGCTTTTGCTGTAAAATCTTTATTGCTTTTTATAAAGTAAACATGAGAGTAACTGATGTATTGTCAGTAACAATGTAAGATGAACACTTGCTGATCTGAAGCAACGTATAGGTTTACTTAATTTAATCGTGACAACTCTCTGAAGATTTTAGCATGGTGATGGATATGACAATGTTAATGTATTTGGTCTTGGCTGAATAGATCTGCTATGCTGCTGCTGAATTGCTGCTGCTGTTGGTTATTGCTGTAGTTGTAGATTATTGCTGCTGCTGCAAGCAAGTACAGGAACTTGCTAATGCCAATGCATACGGCTATACGGTGCTGTGAGTATTTAAGACATACTGCTGCTGCACAAATAGCATATAAAATAACCCTGTAGCAGATCTATACAGGTGGAGCTGGGGAAGGTGGAGGGTTTCAGAGAAACTCTGAAAGCGCGCTGCAGGAATCTCAAGTGAATGCTAGCCAGCCATATAAATGCAAGGCAGTAAACTCATTGGCTGCATATGCAGCATGAACCAATCAGCTTGTGCCAAGTCATTTAACTCTCTGAATATCATCAGTTAATGTTAACACCTCGTCAGAATGCGCCATCTAGAGTTTCATGACTGAACTATATATTTATACATCATTTGGAAAAAATCATATTCAAATGGGTTTATATATTTGTTCATCTCTTTTAGTCAACAACATTGTATTGCATTGCATTATATGTTTAAAACGACAGAGCTTTGATCATAAAACTGAGCATTTAATTATCTTAATACAACATTATATTAGGAGATATTGAATGATCTGCTAATTATGTACGTACATAAAGTAGTCTGTTGTATTGTTATAAAGATAATTGATTTACATTTCAAGCAATCAGAATTTCACCTTACTTTTTGGCCATATAAATAAAATCTGCACCAAATTGCATGTTTTTGCTCAGAATGAATAAAATTAAAGTGTTTTTCTCCTCGAGTATGAGCCCCATATGCTCACTTTATCAAGTCAAGTCACCTTTATTTCTATAGCACTTTATACAATACAAGCTTCACAGAGTTTAATGGGGAAATAATGTCTAAAGTTTCAATAATAATAATAATAATTAAAAAAAAAAACATACAGAAAATATATACAGAAAACCCCTGCATGACAACATCTGGGCTTCCTGACACTGACTTGAGTTTTGTCTGTGTGTGTTTTGTGAAGCATCATGTCAGATAAAAGTGAGCTGAAAGCTGAGCTTGAGCGAAAGAAACAGCGCTTGGCTCAGATAAGAGAGGAGAAGAAGAGAAAGGAGGAGGAACGCAAGAAAAAAGAGGTGAAAACACACCATACTCTACTTTTTTTACTTGTATTAATATAGCAGGCTGAGTTCCACAATATGCCACTCAAGCAAAATATACAGTGTGTCTTTATTATGAATAAGTAAAGTCCTTTTATATGCATGATTACAGTAGGAAAAAAAATCTTTCTAACTTTCGTTTCTAGGTGCCTTGAGGTGAAAGTATATGTCACAATATTCACCGTTAACATAATTACTTTTTTCTAATATGTGTTCTTTAAATTGTGGTTGATGATAAAAATAATGGCATAACAGCAAATAAATGTATTGCAATAAATAGTAGTACACCTATGAAAATTGGATCTATTTTGGTTTTTGATCGTTTAAAATAGTCATGAACGAAACAGTAAAACAGCTTATGAATACTAAATAATTAACAGCTTGTAAGTCCGCAGTCTAGTCATAATTAAAGTGTGAAAACTACATTTAAAATTTGAATGTTGTTGAAGCAATGAATACAGCAGAAACTTCAGCTCTGATTTTCAGGTCCTTTTTTCTTTTTCTTTTTCTTTTTTTAAGCTTAAATAATTTGTTAGTTTTGTTTTCTGTTCTTTTCATACAGTATGAGGTTCATTCATTAGACATTTGCAAAGGCCGTGTTGGTTAGACAGTGTTAATTTCCAGTTATTGATAAATTTACTTTTCCTTAAAATTAAAACAGAAATACAGTGGTGTGAAAAAGTGTTGTGAAGTGAAGAGTGCAGAATTCATGGTTCCGTCAATTATGGCAAGTTGTCCAGATCCTGAAGCTGCAAAGCAGCCCCAGATCATCACACTACCACCACCATGTTTGACTGTTGGTATGATGCTCTTTTTATGAAATGCTGTGTTGGTTTTACGCCAGATGTAACGGGACACACACCTTCCAAAAAGTTCAACTTTTGACTCATCAGTCTACAGAATATTTGCCCAAAAGTCTTGGGGATAATCAAGATATTTTTTGGCAAATGAGAGACGAGCCTTTGTGTTCTTTTTGGTCAGCAGTGCCTTTTGCCTTGGAACTCTCCCATGGATGCCGTTTTTGCCCAGTCTCTTTCTTATTGTTGAATCATGAACACTGACCTTAATTGAGGCAAGTGAGGCCTGCAGTTCTTTAGATGTTGTTCTGGGTTCTTTTATGACCTCCTGGAT